AATCAAGGAAATTAGTTCTGCCATTCAATTAACAGCAAGACATTTATTGATTTGGTACAAAGCTGACTCCAGATGTATTTAACAGAAACACTAGGATATCGTTTCTCATTTTAACATAGTCTCCTGCTGTTTTTCCTGGGAGTAAGTCCCAGTGAATAGATCTGAGTAGCATTCTGAGTAAACCTGCTTAGAATGGCTCCCTTAGTGTATGATTGCGGCTATGGAATGCATGTGTGTTTAACACTAATTGAAACTGTTCTAGGGACTGAATAATCAATATATAAATGGAAAGAATAAATATAAACAAAGCTTTGTTGTGAGACTGTGCAATCCTGAGCGTCACTTCAGATTGGGACTTATTTTTTAAGTAAACATGCATAGACTTGGATTGTGAGACTTCAGTCCTGTGCACATTTACTTGGGAGTAAGCCCCATGGATCCCCCTCATGGATCACTGCCTTGTCGTGGCGAGGGGGCTTGCGTTGTTCGATGAGGCTGTGGGCTATGCCGTGGAGGGCCACCCAAGACGGATAGGCCACAGCAGAGAACTCAGACCAAGCGTGATCCCCTGGAGAAGGAAATGGCAACCCACTCCAGTATTTTTGCCAAGAAAACCCCATGGACAGTCTCAAAAGGCTAAAAGATATGACGCCGGAAGATGAGCCGCTCAGGTTAGAAGGTGTCCAATATGCTACTGAGGAAGAGCAGAGGGCAAGTACAAGTAACCCCAGAAAGAGTGAAGCGGCTGGGCCAAAGCCGAAAGGACGCTCAGTTGTGGATGTGTCTGATGGTGAAAGGAAAGGCCGATGCTGCAAAGAACAATACTGCATAGGAACCTGGAATGTAAGATCTATGAATCAAGGTAAGTTTGACGTGGTCAAAAATGAGATGGCAAGACTGAACATCAATATCTTAGGAATCAGTGAACTAAAGTGGACAGGAATGGGTGAATTTAACTCAGAAGACCATTATATCTACTACTGTGGCCAGGAATCTCGTAGAAAAAATGGTGTGGCCTTTATAGTCAACGAGAGAGTGCAAAAGTCAGTACTGGGATACAATCTTAAAAATGACAGAATGATTTCGGTCCGATTCCAAGGAAATGATGTCCTCATCATCATAGGGGACTGGAATGCTAAAGTAGGAAGTCAAAAGGTAACTGGAATAACAGACAAGTTTGGCCTTGGAAAGCAAAATGAAGCAGGGCAAAGGTTAACAGAGTTTTGTCAAGAGAACACACTGGTCATAGCGAACACCCTTTTCCAACAACCTAAGAGGCGACTCTACACATGGACATCACCAGATGGGCAACACCGAAATCAGATTGACTATATAATTTGCAGTCAAAGATGGAGAAGCTCTATCCAGTCAGTAAAAACAAGACCTGGAGCTGACTGTGGTTCAGATCATGAGCTACTCATTGCAAAATTCAGACTTAAACTGAAGAAAATTGGGAAAACCACGAGGCCATTCAGGTTTGACCTAGATCGCATCCCTGATGAATATACAGTAGAGGTGAAGAATAGATTCAAGGGTCTGGATTTGATAGATAGAGTGCCTGAAGAACTATGGACAGAGGTTCGTGACATCGTACAGGAGGCAGCAATCACCACCATCCCAAAGAAAAAGAAATGTAAGAAAGCAAAGTGGCTTTCTGATGAGGCTTTACAAATAGCAGAGGAAAGAAGGAAAGCGAAAGGCAAAGGCGAAAAGGAAAGATTTACCCAACTGAACGCAGATTTCCAGAGAACAGCAAGGAGAGATAAGGAGGCCTTCCTGAATGAACAGTGCAAAGTAATAGAAGAAAACAATAGAATGGGAAGGACTAGAGATCTCTTCAAGAAAGTTGGAGAAATCAAGGGAGCGTTCCATGCAAAGCTGGCCATGATAAAGGACAAAAACGGTAGGGACCTAACAGAAGCAGAAGAGATTAGGAAAAGATGGCAAGAATACACAGAAGAACTATACAAGAAAGACCTCGATGTCCTTGACAACCACGACGGTATAATCACTGACCTCGAGCCAGACATCCTGGAATGTGAAGTTAAATGGGCCTTAGAAAGCATTGCTAACAACAAAGCTAGTGGAGGTGATGGTATTCCAGCTGAGCTATTCAAAGTCTTAGAAGATGATGCTGTTAAAGTGCTGCACTCCATTTGCCAGCAAATTTGGATAACGCAACAGTGGCCACAGGATTGGAAAAGATCAGTATACATTCCAATCCCAAAGAAGGGCAATGCCAAGGAATGTTCAAACTATCGCACAATTGCACTCATATCACATGCTAGCAAGGTCATGCTCAAGATCCTACAAGCTAGGCTTCAACAGTACGTGGATAGAGAACTGCCAGAAGTACAAGCTGGGTTTCGAAGAGGTAGAGGAACTAGAGATCAAATTGCCAACATTCGCTGGATTATGGAGAAAGCAAGAGAGTACCAGAAAAACATCTACTTCTGCTTCATTGACTATGCTAAAGCCTTTGACTGTGTGGATCACAACAAACTATGGCAGGTCCTTAAAGAGATGGGAGTACCAGACCACCTCACATGTCTCTTGAGAAACCTGTATAAGGGCCAAGAAGCGACAGTTAGAACCGGATATGGAACAACTGATTGGTTTAGCATAGGAAAAGGAGTACGACAAGGATGTATATTGTCGCCTTGCTTATTTAATATATATGCAGAGTACATCATGCGAAATGCTGGCCTGGATGAATCACAAGTGGGAATTAAGATTGCTGGGGAAAAGATCAACAACCTCAGATATGCAGACGATACCACTCTAATGGCAGAAAGTGAAGAGGACCTAAAGAGCCTCTTGCTCAGAGTAAAAGATGAGAGCGCAAAAGTGGGCTTGAAGCTCAACATAAAAAAAACTAAGATCATGGCATCCGGACCCATCACTCCTTGGCAAATAGAAGGGGAAGTCGTGGAAGTAGTGACAGACTTCACGTTCCTGGGATCCCAGATCACCGCAGACTGTGACAGCAGCCATGAAATTAAAAGATGCCTGCTCCTTGGGAGGAAAGCGATGGCGAACCTAAACAGCATGATAAAAAGTAGAGACATCACCCTGCCAACCAAAGTCCGCATGGTCAAAGCAATGGTATTCCCAGTAGTCATGTATGGCTGCGAGAGTTGGACTATAAGGAAGGCCGAGCGCCGAAGAATAGATTCTTTTGAACTATGGTGCTGGAGAAGACTCTTGAGAGTCCCTTGGACTGCAAGAAGATCAAATCAGTCAATCCTAAAAGAAATCAACCCTGACTGTTCCCTGGAAGGCCAGATAATGAAACTGAAGCTCAAAGACTTTGGCCACCAAATGAGAAGGGAGCACTCACTGGAGAAGACCCTGAAGCTGGGAAAGATTGAAGGTCAAAGAAGACGGGGACGGCAAAGGATGAGATGGTTAGACAATGTCATAGATGCAACGAACATGAAATTGAACAAACTTTAGAGGACAACGGAAGACAGGGCCTGGCATGATCTGGTCAATGGGGTCGCGAAGAGTTGGACTTGACTGTGTGATTGAACAACAAATGGGGGGAGGGATGTTATGTCCACTGACCGCCACCAGGGGCCAGCAAATACTCCCGAGCTTGACTCTGTAGGAACAATGGGGACTAGGCTCCTAGTCTCTCCACTTGGGAACCAATAGGACCATGGTGGGAGATTTAAACCCACCAACAGGACCTAGGGGAGTATCCCCAGGTGTGTATATAGTTGGCCACCCGGCTAGTAGTTGTTGTCTTTGTTGTGCACTAGTAAACCATTCACTGGAGAAAACCCTGATGCTGGGAAAGATTGAAGGTCAAAGAAGACCTGGACGGCAAAGGATGAGATGGTTAGACAGTGTCATAGATGCAACAAACATGTAATTGAGCACACTTCGGCGGAAGACCGGAGGGCCTGGCGGGAGCTGGTCCATGGGGTCGCGAAGAGTCGGAGTCGACTGTGCGACTGACCAACAACAAAGTAAACCATGCTGATGACTACATCAGTCTCAGTGGTTTTTACATTCCTCTAACCCACTACACTTCATTGTGAGAATATAATATGGGAGGAGAGAACGCTATACAGCGCCCCCAGCTCTTTGGTGGAAGGGAGGAATAAACATGGACTCTGTAAACAAGGGGGCAGAGCTGTAGTCTTTTCCCGACCTACTTCATAGTTACTTTCTTTCGAGGGAACGACCGGCCAGGCTCTCAGCTGCTAGTTGGCTCGGTGTAGTGCTTCTCCCAGCCGGAGGAGGCTGCTGTGCCTGCCGAGACGCCGCAGCTTCCTCCTCTGGCTCTGCTTTCGCCTCTCCCAGCGCGTCCTTGGCTCGGCATTAGACAAACGAGTACCAAGACCCAGCAGAGAAGCGCGAAAGCGCGCCGGAGAGGAGGAGGAGCAGGAGGGGCGGCGGCGGCGGCGGCTGGGTTGGGCGGAGCTGCAGCGCTGCAGTGCACGAGGAGCCGGAACAGGGCTTGCTTCCTCCTCGCTGGACGAGCTGAGTCCTCCGTGCCCAGAGGAGGTTGGCCTGGCCGGCGCCTCCCGTCCCGCTCCTTCTCCAGCGGTGCGGAGCGGCGGCCTCTCCGAAGGGCATCTCGGCTCAGGCTGCGCTGTCCTTTCTGCGCCTCGGAAGGGTGGCTGCAGTGTCGCCTGCTGCTGCTCTGGCTGTCTCTTTGCCCTTGGTCCGCGTCTTTTGCCCGGGCATCCTCTCCGAGACTCCCTTTTCTTCGCGACGAGACAGGCTCGTCCCAATTGCCCGGCACCTTCTCCAGATAATTTTTATAACTTATTTTTTTAAAAAAGAAAAACCCTTCAGGCTGCGAGTTCTTTTTGCAGCTCGGCTTCTCTTTGGCGGGGGAGGAAAAATCTTCAGCGACCTCTTGTTCGACAAGCTTTTCAAAACTGCCTTTTTCTTTTTGTTATTGGTGGGTTTTTTTTGCAAGGGAGAGTTTTGTGGCCTTGTTTTCTCTGCCCTTTCCCCGCTGTGAAATTAGTATTTAATTTATTTATTTTTTAACCAAAGCTGCTGGGTTTTGCTGTGGATCAGGTGAAAAATGCTGGCAAAGGGCTTTGGGATTTTGGGTTTCCTCCATGCTTTGCCCTTCCTGGTTGGCATGGCTGCCCTCCTTGGGCTCTTACCGGTGCTTCACAGCCATGGTTTGGAGCCCCAGCACATTATGGCAACTTCACCCTCTCATATCTACCCCAAAATTATCCATGGGGCTGTAATGGAGGAGATCACTTCTTCACCACCTGCCTCTCAGGACGGTTATCCCGGGGTTAAACATCCCACCAATAATTCCTTGGATGGACATGGCAAGAGGCGAAAGATTTTTCCTGTTCTGGACGTGGACTACAAGCATGTACGGATACCCTTTGAAATTGCGCTCTGGATCCTGCTGGCGTGCCTCATGAAACTGGGTATGTGCCCTGTGTTTGGTTCCTGGGGTTATGGGTAGTAGTGGGGGATGCTCCAGTTAGCAGACTGACTATTTGGAAATATCCTCATTGAGCCCTTCTGCGATTGTCCAAAGGCGCTTGGCATCTTGATCCCAGGAGGCTCAAAGAAGGATGTCTGCTTGGAGGTATGCTTGGGGAAGGATGTACCACTTTGAGATGCTCCTCAGATGCAAGCTGCCTTGAAGTCTGGTGCTATCTTTAAAGACTATCGAAGGTTTTTATTTCAGATAGTTTAGCAAAACTGGTGAATGGTCTGTTATCTTTCTAGATTAGATTTGAATTTTACGTGACTACACTGCACCCTGTACTTTATGGTGCTTTGACTCTGCTTTCTATCTCCCTACATAAAAGATCAGCCTAGGAAAGATTAGCTCAGAACATCTGACAAAGTGGGTTGTAGCAAACCAAAGCTTTATGCTGTAATAAAATGTTATTGGTCTTTCAAGATGCCCCCAAGACACAACTCCTTGTTGTTGCTGAACCAGATTAACACAGCTACTCCTCTGTTTACCTGGGAGTGAAACTTCTGTAGGTTTCCAGGGTCATGTTGATAATAATGTCATTTATTTATTTCTAGGGGGGAGGGAGATTGTACACACTGCCCATCCGGAAGTGGCTTCAGGCAATTAGAACCACTAAGAAATAAGGAAAAGGTCACCTGTTTAGCTTTTGTTCAGACCTTTCTGTTCCTATGTATCTAGCCTTAGTGTTCACACAAGAAAGAGAAAGTTCTGGTGACATTTGATATGATATTTATTTGGAGCACTTTGGTGGGCTAAAAGCGGGTAGATGATTCCAGGTCTGCTGTGGCTCTTAAAGGATTTGAATAGTTAACCATCTTTACATATGGATTACTCAAGCTACCGGTTTCTTCAGAGACTTCTTTCTGCCATGAAAGCAACATGTGGACAAAACCTGTTTATTTCCCATGTGCTCTGGATCAACCTTGCTGTGTTTTTATAGGAATCTATATGCATTTATATAATAATAATAATAATAATAATAATAATAATAATAATAATAATAATGTTTTTGATTTATTAATCGCTTTCCCCACGAGTGGGCTCAAAGTGATTGACAGTTACAGTTATATCTTGCTTTTCTCCTCAATGAGGACCCAAAATTGCTTAGAGCATCATCTTCTTCTCCAGTTTCTCATGATATCCCCGAGAGGTAGGCTAGGCTAAGAGAATGCAACTGGCCCAATGTCACCCAGCGAGCTTCCACGGTAGAAGTGGGGAATTCAGGCTCAAGTTTCCCAGGATCTTGGTCCAACATACTATCCACTATACCACACCGGTGTAATACTTCTGTGTATACCTGTGTCAGACGCCGTGGAGAGAACAGCATGGCTGTGGAGATGTGGCTGTCGGCTCCCAATGTGCACCAGATGGCTCATCCTAGCCTTCCTCCATATACTCGCAGACATGGAGAAACTGGGTGGTGTATACAGACTTTTAGTCTTTTTGATTCTTGCCCCCAAAAATATGTATAAAACTTCATTTGGCAGGATTTTTGTAAGATGCCGCAAGACTCCAGATGGAAGATGGCCTAGGAAAGGCAGTGCGCTGTTACTTCTGCCCCCACCCCCCTTTTAAAAATGTTTTTTTCTTCTAAAGCTAAGCCTCTCATTTCTGGCACAAAGGGTTGCATCAAAGAAGGGATTGTACTAGGTGTACTAGGTGGTGGTATGAATGTCAGTAACAGAGGGGCATTTTTGTAGTTTTGCAGTGGGGTGGCTGTACTGTCACACAACCTTTTGGCATGCCTTGAATTTAAAAAGCGGGTGTCCCAAACAATATTCCCTCTAAGCTGTGGAGTCTTGTGAGCAAGAAATTCTACTTTGTGAGCTTCTGGCATTAAAGTTGTGACTGAGTGATTTGGCTACTGCATAAATTAGTTTGCTCTGGAGCCATCCTTCTGAGCTAAGACAAAAATGTGTGAGCTGGGGACTAATAAACTGTGAGCTAACTCACACTAACTTAACTTAGAGGGAACACTGGTCCCAACCTAGGTAGGGAGGTCAAATTGACTATCTGCTAATGGGTGGCGATGCTGTTTACTCTTAGTGCAGAAGTGATTTTGTCTCTTCTGGGGATGTGATGAAGAGTACTGGGGGGAAATGAGCTTTCTTTGTGCTATTCCTCTTTGTGAAATGCAGAATGTCCACTCAGTGGGAGTTACATGACTGCATCAGAAAGCAAACAAATCTGGTACCACTGCCAGTGGAAGTGCTTGTGTATAACCTGGAGTCTCACACATCCTTGATCTAGATCGGGCTGTTACGATATAAAGTCTGAGCGCTGAAAAAGAAATTTGTGCTGGGGGCTAGTCAGTGTGCAATGTGCCTGCATTTTAAAATCCAAGGGGTTTATAATTCAGACTCCACTGTTGACCTAGAATTCCTGGTGATCCCTGCCAGAAGAGGCTCCCAAGGAAAGTAGAACAGCGGTGAAATCCCTGGGAAGTTCTCCTGCCCAAGCCCCATTGAAAGGAATGGGGGCTGTTAAAAGGCCAGAGTCGTGCTCTTGTACTGCTCTCAGTGAAGACTGCTCAAGAGAATTTCCATGGGGCCTGCATCCTAAATGTCTGATAGTATCTCCATTTGTTTGAACAGAAGATAGATTGGCTCTTTCTCTTATCCGAAAAGTTCCTGGTGGGCCACTGCCTTAAAGGAGCCGCTGTTGGCCGGGGCAAGCTAAGATATCCCTGTGGTTCTGACAGTGCTTCAAAGGTCCACTGAACCCAGATGTGGATCGTGGTTATGGTTATGCTGGCAGTGTTGCTGTGGCTCATATCCAAGGCAAGTGGATCCTGCGGCACTGCCAACTCCACAGAGGATCAGCTTGCTTTGGGGCTGTTTTAATGTTCCAGTCTTGCATTCAGAGTTGTATTTCTAAACTATATTAAAGGCAGTCACCCTCCCATCAGTGTGCATCATGAGGCTGGATTACCTTTTTTTTCTATAAGAAGGTATTTTTCTTCTATGTGTTTTAATTTTTCTCTGCAATAGAACTCTTTGGAAAGTTGCGATTGCTTTTCCTAATGCAGATGAATTGGGGTCTTGTGAGAATGTCTGCTTTGGTTTAACAACTGAATGATTGCTGAAGTTTATACAGGCCTCCCTCAGGAAGTACGGAGAAGCAGATACCTGAGAGTAGCCCTTGAGATATAACCATTCAGCAATGGAAGGAAGCTGAGGAAGGAGATGACATTAAAAAGAGGCCGGCATTGGAGTAGTCTCTTCCCTATGTTTGTGGGAATTATGTGATCCTAATTCACTGTGCTTGTGACAGTGTTCATGTTCTTACCACGCTTGTAACTTCAGGGCTTTATGGTCCTAGAGCAAAGAAACCCCTTCCATATGTAGTATATGGCTGCTTTTACTCTGACTGCAGCAGAGCAAATCCTGCTGCAGGAGAGAGGTAAGTAATTCAAACCACACAGTGAAATAGGGCCAAGGTTAGGTTTTTTTAATCAAATGAGTTAATTAGCAAAATTAGCCAGGTCATCCTTGAAACGTGTGAATATGTACACCCTGGTGAGAGGCCGATCTTCTTTTCCTCCTGCCCTCCTCTGGGTCCTAGACTCCCTCGCCTTCGGTCCTCAGCTGTAGCAATTTGCTGTGGAGGGAAGCAGGAACTGGAAAGCCTTTTTGTTGTTTAAAAGTATTTTCTGCTTAGCTATTAGCTATATAGGGCTTGGAGCAGGAGCTCCAGACGTCCTATCAAGCGCAGGGCTATGCAGAAACTGGAGAGGTCAGCCAGGGCCACTCCAATAGGAGCTATGCAACAAAAGAAATTTGCCTAGCCTATCGAGCGAGCAGAGGCGTGACCTAACCAGTTTCTGGATGACTTCTCCCCCACTGAAGAGAAAGAACCTTCAGGTAGGTACAATGTACCATTCCCAAGAGGTTGAGTCAGTAAGTATGAGTCACCCTGGACCATAGCCTTGGTTCACCATCAGACAAAGAGATGTACCTGCACTCTGCCAACACCATTGGTGCAAGGAGTGGAATTGGGGCATTTTTGCTTGTTGCCAATACTTTGGGATTGAGGAAGAACAGCATCAGCTTCAGCAAACTGACTCAGACACGAGCAGACTCCTGCAAAATACCACCAGGCTTGTCTGGTGTCTTTTGGGGATATGTCTATTCTCTTTTTGGCTGTTTCTTCCCCTGCTTTATGAAAGCTCCCACTAGAACATCCTTGCTGAAGTTAACAGTGTCATCCAAAGTAAAGTTGCACTCTTCTAAGCCTTCCATGGAGATAGATCCAGGTAGTGTCGGACTCCTGCAACAATCAGTTCTCAACAACTTTCATGGAAAGAAGCAGGGGTCATTTCGTAGAAAAAGAGCTAGGGGAACTCATTAGCATAACTCATTAGCATATGCCACACCCCCTGACATAATAAGGCCCCTTGGTGGACCTGCAAGGCCAGCGGGAGTGTGAGGAAGCCCCACCAAGGCCCTCCCTGGCCCCAGGCAGGCAGGGGTGGGGAGAGGCGGGGAGGAAGCAACTTACCCTCCCTCTTCTCCTGCCTCCTCCTGGCTGAATGAGGGCCGGAAGCGGGGCGGCCGTAAGCAGGGCTTTGTCATGTGCCCCACCCCCTGCACCTCACCCGGGGGAACTGCGATCCCCCGCGATCCCCCCCGAAATGACCTCTGGAAAGAAGTAAAGTTTATTGAAACATTGAAGTATGCAGATGGTCTCTACCCCTCTCGTGTTAGAACTGGCAATAAGTGTGCGAAGCAAGCAGATATACATAATTCAGGAGGGTCCCCCTGATGGCCTGGAGCCAATCATGGAATAGGTGAAAGCCCTCCAAAGCTAACGGGTCTATTTTCCCAAGAGAAAGCTGGTGCTAGACACCAAGGCCAAATGCTCATGTTACAGAGATAAAGAAACGCTGAAGGCACAGAGAAAAGAAACTTAAAATTCCAGAGACACCCCCTCCCACAC